CGATTCTTTTATCAGCCTGTAGAAACTTTCAGTTTTGCTCATTTTTTCGTTATAATGGTTATATACCCAAAATTATCAATAAGCAAATGATTTCTACGTTTATCGAGAGCTCGTTCTTCATACGGCAAAAAACAGTCAATTTCCTCTTTTTTTATTTGTTATCATGGTTATAGCCTAACTCATCATCAACAAATAATTTCTAGGTTTATCATGTGATTTTTCATGAGCCTGAAGAAAAACATCAATTTTGTTCTTCTTTTTTTGTTATAGCCAAACTCATCATCATCTAATGATTTTTACGTTTATCAAGAGTTTTTTCATGAGTCTGTAGAAAATCGTCAATTTTGCTTCTTTTTTTTTCGTTATCATTGTTATATCCCAAACTCATCAATCATCAAATGTTTTCTATGTTTATCAAGTTCTCTTTCATCAAAATGCAGAAAACCGTCAATTTTTGCTCTTTAGTTTTGTTATATCCAAACTAATAAATCAATAAATAATTTTTACATTTACCAAGAGCGATTTATTAGGTTGCAGAAAACCGTCGATTTTGCTCCTCTTTTTATAATTATCATGGTTATAGCCAAACTCATCAATCAACAAATGATTTCTACGTTTATCAGGAAACACCTTCATCAGGCTACCAAACCGTCAATTTTGCTCATTTTTTTGTTATTATTGTTATATCCAAACAAATTAATCAGCAAATGATTTCTACATTTATCAAGAGCTCTTTCATTAGGCTGCAGAAAAACTGTCTATTTTTCTTTTTTTTCGTTATCATTGTTATAACTCAACAATCAGCAAATGATTTTTATGTTTAGTAAGAGCTTTTTCACTAAACAGTAGAAAACCGTCAATTTTTGCTCTTTTGTTTCTATCCTGGTTATAGCCAAACTCATCATCAGCAAATGATTCTATGTTTATCAAGAGCTTTTTCACGAGCCTGCAGAAAACCATCAATTTTGCTCTCTCTTTTTGTAATTAAGGTTATAGCCAACTCATCAATTGGTATATGATTTCTACATTTATCATGACCTCTTTCATCAGGCTGTAGAAAACTGTCTATTTTGCTCTCTTTTACTGTTATCATTGTTATAACCAAACTCATGAATCAACAATTGATTTCTACGTTTATCAAGAGCTCTTTCATTAGACAGTAGAAAAATGTCAATTTTGCTCCTATTTTTTTTGTTATCATGACTATAGCCAAACTCATCAATAAGCAAATAATTTCTAAGTTAATCAAGAGGTCTTTCATCAGGCTGCAGAAAACCTTCAATTTTGTTCATTTTTCGTTATAATGGTTATTGTAAAACTCTTCAATTAGCGAATGAGTTTTACGTTTATGGAGAGCTCTTTCATAAGACTGCAGAAAACAGTCAACTTTGCTCTCTTTTTTTTGTTATCATGGTAATAGCCAAATTTATCATTAGCAAATGATTTCTACGTTTATCGATAGTTTTTTCATGAAGTTGAAGAAAACCTACAATTTTACCCATTTTCGGTTATAATATTTATAGAAAAACTCTTCCATCGGCAAATAATTTCTACGTTTATCAAGATCTCTTTCATAAGACTACCAAAAGCTGTCAATGTTGCTCTTTCTTTTTTGTTATTATGGTTATAGCCAAACTCATCATCAACAAAAGATTTCTACGTTTATCAAGAGCTTTTTCGTGAGCCTGCATCAAAACCATCAATCTTGCTCATTCTTTTCATTAACATTGTTATAGCCAAACTCATCAATCCTCAAATAATTTATATGTTAATCAAGATCTCTTTCATCGGACTACAGAAAGCCGTCAATTTTGTCTATGTTATACTGTTATCATTGTTATGGCTAAACTCATAAATGAGAAAATAATTTTTACGTTTTTTAAGAGCTCTTTCATTACACTGTAGAAAACCGTCACTTTTGCTCCATTTTTTTTTGTTATCATGGTTATAGCCAAACTCATCAATCAGCAAATGATTTCTACGTTTATCAAGATCTCTTTCATCAGACTTCAGAAAACCATCAACTTTGCTCCTCTTGTTTTGTTATCATGTTGATCAAGTTAAACCGGTTGGACCAGGTTTTCAATTTTAGTTAGAAATTAATAATAAAATTTTGTATCTTCTGCAGGATGAAGGTTTTTTTCTAAAGTAACTTAACTATATTGTAGGTTTTAACAGTTATCAAATAATTTTAATATTAATTTTAAAATAAAATATACATGATGGACCAACCATTATATATCGGAATTTAATTGACCAATTATGAATCACTAATGATCTTGACTCATTTTCTATTCCGTATACCAATGCTCTCCACTGCGACCAATGTCGTATCTCCTTCCATTGCAACATTGTATTGCTTCACTATATAATTCACCATGGCTGATTCCGGTTGATGATAACACAAAGACAAAGCAAAAGTGATATCAGAAACGTGACTCTCAAGTAAACCGGAAAATCCAAAAAATTAATACTTATATATATTGTTGCTTTGAACACAAAGTAATAAGATTACCTTTTTGACATATCAAATTTTCGGAAAGTCAACTTATAAAGTAATAAGATTACCTTTTTGACATATCAAATTTTCGGAAAGTCAACTTATATTAGTTTCTTTTCATAAAGATTTGTTAAAGTTTTAAATATTTTCAATCACGATAGAGATAAATGGCAGCTTTATATATATATATATATATATATCTTATGTAGTGTGTTTCTTTCACTTCAGCATGACTTTCATTAGTCTCTGGTGACGGCTGAAACGACTCGTCTCGAGCTTCTGCCGTCGTCTTTTATTCAAATTGTTTATTTTACTAAGTACAAAAATCGACTTGGCTTCCACTGTTGAGTTAATCAGAGTCACGCCCTATTTATAAATTAGTCTCCCATCTTCCACTATTATTTATATGCTTCTCTCTCCATCTGCGTGTTTCAAAGAAACACAGAGGTTATTGAGTATTCAAGAGTTATAGCTAATCATTATGGTCGAGTCAAATCAGATAAAAAGCTCACCAGTCCCAAGCATCTAATGCATTATTTTTGCAGAACACTTCTCGGGTGTTTCTCAAGATTTACATCTTTGTCGTCTCCTATATCCAACATTTAGTTTCAAATCAGTGAAAACAGAGTTTAGAACACATTCAAGATAGGAGGATCTAAAGATGGATATTGGATCTAAGTCCGTACCGGTAAAAGAATGGATGTGAGCTCTTGCTCGCTGACCAGACATCATAATAGAAGTGCAAGTGTGC